TCAGTGTTTCTTCCGCGACCACACCACTGTCACACCTCTTTCGGCTCCAGTCCCAGTTGCCCTGGCTGATCCTACTTCAGGACCAGCAGTTGCTCGTAGCTCGACCACCCTCCTGTGCTCGGCTGTCCCCTCTGGTTTCCTCACTGGTCTCTACATCCCCTCGTTCTCTCGGAACTTGGTGGGTGTTGGATACCTTCAGGACCGGGGGATCACAGTCACTTTTCCTGCGCACGGGAGGACTGCGATCTGTACGGACTCTTCCACCGGGGCAGTTCTTGCCACGTTCACCAGAGAGCCCCACTCAGGTCTCTTCGTCCTGCACACTCCGCCCCCGCAGGTAGCTGCGTCTGGTCAGGTTGCTTCGTCCCCCCCGGTAGCAGAGTCCGGTCAGGTGGCTGTGTCCAGTCCGGTCGCTGTGTCCAGTCCAGTCGCTGCGTCTTGCTCCTGTCGCTCTCTCGCCCACCGCACCGTCCTGTGGCACCACCGTCTTGGCCACCCGTCGATCCCTCGCCTTCGTGGCATGCTCAGTCAGGGACTAGTCACAGGTCTCCCACGCACCTTCCCGTCGCTCCCTCCCTCGCTTGCCCCTCCTTGCTCTCCGTGCGTCGCCGGTCGCTTACGTGCCACTCCCCACTCCTCCTCCCTTCGTCCGGCCACCGCTCCCTTCGAGACTCTCCACTTGGACGTCTGGGGCCCTGCCCCGACGCAGGGGTCTGGGAGGGAGCGCTACTTTCTGGTGGTCGTCGACGACTTCTCCAGGTACGCCACAGTGTTTCCTCTTGCGAAGAAGTCCGAGGTGACTGCTACGCTGATCAGGTGGCTTCTAGCCACTGAGGGCACTCGTGGTCGTCGAGTCAGTTGTCTTCACTCCGACCGTGGGGGCGAGTTTCGCTCCGGCATTCTCGGCGGATTCTGCGGCGAACAGGGCATCACCCAGTCCTGGACGCTGCCAGAGTCCCCACAGCAGAATGGGGTTGCTGAGCGCCGCATAGGCTTGGTCATGGACATCGCCCGCACGTACATGATTCATGCCCGTGCGCCCCATTTTCTGTGGCCTCACGCGGTTCGCTACGCCGCACACCAGCTGAACCTCCAGCCGCGTGTCTCGCGGCCCGAGGCTTCACCGACCAGTCTCTGGACTGGATCCCCTGGTGTTGGGTCGGCCTTTCGAGTCTGGGGCTGCCTTGCACTTGTTCGCGACACCTCCGCGGACAAGCTCTCGGCACGCGCCGTCCCCTGTGTCTTCCTTGGTTTCCCAGTGGACTCTGCTGACTGGTCCTTTTACCACCCTCCCCTCCACCAGTTCCTAGATTCCCGTGACGTCCGGTTTGACGAGTCCGTGTCCTACTACACCCGGTACCCCTGTCGAGGTCTCCCGGTACCCCCTCCCCCTCTCTTCCTCGCACCCTCTCCTCCTCCTGCTCCCGCTCCTCCGGTACCCCCGCCCCCCCCTGGTCCTGCCCCGTCTGGTGTGTCCCACGCTACCCCTCTCCCCTCGGTCGCGCGTCAGGTAGCGTCTCCCTCCCCGCAGTCCTCCTCACAGTCCCCTCAGCAGCCTTCGGCACTTCCGCGACAGGTTACTGTGGACTCGGTTGGTGTTGGAGCTGGAGGTGCAGCCGCTGGCGGTGCTCGGTCTGGGGGTGCTCGGTCGCGGGGTACTGGAGCTGGAGGTGCTGGCGCAGGTGGCGCTAGCTCTGGGGGTGCTGGAGCTGGAGGTGCCGGCACTGGAGGTGCTGGTTCTAGGGGTGCTGGAGTTGGGGGTACTGGCACTAGCGGTGCTAGTTCTGGGGGTGCTGGAGTTGGAGGTCCTAGCACTGGCGGTACTGGTTCTGGGGGTGCTGAGTCTGAGGAGACTGACGCTGGAGACCCTGGTTCTGCGGAGTCCACCCCGCCCCCCCACCGCCACGACACGCGTCTCCAGGCTGCCCGTCGGCGTGAGCGTGAGGAGCAGGAGCGGTTGGAGAGGGAGCGGCAGGAGCTGCGGGTGCTGGACCTTCTGGAGCAGCAGCGGCAGCTGGACCTTCTGGAGCAGCAGCGGCAGCAGCAGCAGCAGCAGCAGCAGCAGCAGCAGCAGCAGCAGCAGCAGCAGCCGCAGCCGCAGCCGCAGCCGCAGCCACAGCCGCAGCAGCAGCAGCAGCCGCAGCCGCAGCCGCAGCGGCCGCAGCCGCCACCGCAGCTTCCTCTAGAGCGGCGGTTGTTCCCACCTGTGAGTGGCTTGCGGGCCCTTGGCCTTTCCTCCTCTCCTCCTGTCCGCTCCCAGTCTCCTCCTGTGTTTGTTCCTCCGTTGCCTCCTCCTGACGACCGTCCGGCGGTCTGGTCTTCTCCTCCTCCTCAGTCTCCTCCTCCCTCTGTCCGTCGCGACTTGATCACTCGTTGTCCTCCGCGTGCTCGTCACTCGTCCCCTGTTACTGACCTCCACACTGCCCTCCTTTGTTCGTCTCGTCGTCGTTCTCCTTCTCCTGTGTCCGTTCTCCCGTCTCCTCCTCCGTCCTCTCTACCTGCCCTCCCTACTCCTATCTCTGACTACTACCGCGCTGTTCGTCCTGTTGCCGCACGTGTCCTCACCACTCTTGTCACCGACCCTCGTTTCCCTCCGTCGTCTGTCTCGGCTCTCACTGCCGCTGTCGCTGAGTTTGCTGCCGCCAGCCGCCTTGACTACGCCACCCGTGTGGTGCCAGCTCCTCCCTACCGTCCTCTGTCCGTCGGGGGTGGGTTTGCCCTTGGCTGTGACGTCCTAGAGGACAGAGAGTCTGAGCTGGAGTACTGGGCAGCCGCTTCTCCCTCTGTGTGTGCCATGCTGCTCTCCCCTGAGGGAGACCCCGACGCCCTTGACATACCGACTCCTCGCACTTACCGCGAGGCAGTGTCAGGGGCGTGGGCCTCTCAGTGGAAAGCGGCTATGGACTCAGAGTTGGCGTCTTGGAGATCCACAGGCACCTACGTCGACGCAGTTCCCCCTCCCAGGGCGAACGTAGTCGATGGCATGTGGCTCTTCAAGGTGAAGCGGCCGCCTGGAGCACCGCCGGTGTTCAAGGCGCGCTACGTGGCTAGGGGTTTCAGTCAGCGTGAGGGAGTTGACTTCTTCCAGACCTTCGCCCCGACCCCGAAGATGACTACTCTTCGGGTGTTACTCCACATAGCAGCGCAGCGAGACTACGAGCTGCACTCCCTCGACTTCTCCACTGCGTTCCTCCAGGGCCGACTGCACGAGGAGATCTGGCTGCGCCGTCCTCCTGGCTTCACTGACACCTTCCCACCTGGGACCCAGTGGAGCCTGAGGCGACCAGTCTACGGTCTCCGCCAGTCGCCCCGTGAGTGGCACGACACTCTTCGCTCCACGCTTTGTGACCTTGGGTTCAGCCCGTCCTCCGCCGACCCGTCGCTGTTTGTTCGAGCGGGTTCTACTCCTTTCTTTATCCTTGTCTACGTCGACGACTTGGTGTTTGCTACAGCAGACAGGGCAGCCCTGGCTCAGGTGAAGTCCGAACTGCAGAAGAGACACAAGTGCACTGACCTGGGTGAGCTGCAGCGCTACCTTGGCCTGAAGATCACCCGGGACAGAGCCGCTCGCACCATCACACTGACGCAGTCACACATGGTGCAGCAGGTCCTTCGGCGGTTCCACTTCCAGTTCTCCACCACACAGCCCACTCCTCTTGCTGTTGACCACAGACTCACGGGCCCCTTTCCTGACGAGCCCTTTGAGTCCAGTGGACCCTACGCAGAGCTGGTGGGCTGCCTCATGTACCTGATGACTTGTACTCGACCGGACCTCGCCTTTCCACTCAGCATCCTTTCTCGCTTTGTTGCGACTGGGAGACACCGCCCTGTCCACTGGACAGCTGCTGTGAGGGTGGCGAAGTACCTGGCGACTACATCAGGCTTGGGGCTTGTGCTTGGAGGGACTCAGCCAGTGGCGTTGACTGGTCACTGCGACTCTTCCTACGCTGACGACGTGGAGACTCAGCGTTCGACTCAGGGTTACTGCTTCAGTCTGGGAGCTGGTGCTGTGTCGTGGAGGTCTACACGGTCGTCGTCTGTGGCTACTTCCAGTGCAGAGGCAGAGATCTACGCTGGTGCCATGGCGGCACAGGAGCTTCGCTGGTTGACCTTCTTGCTCGCTGACCTTGGTGAGCGGCCTCGCTCTGCACCGACCTTGTACGCTGACAACAAGGCCATGATCCTCCTGTGTCGAGAGCCTCGACTGGAGAGCAGAGTGAAGCATATTGACGTGAGGTACTTCCTCCTGCGAGAGCTGCAGCGACGCGGTCAGGCACGCCTGGACTTTGTGGCCTCAGAGGCCAACACTGCAGACGTCTTCACCAAGGCCTTGGTGCTTGGTGACCACCACAGGTTCTGTGTGCAGTTGGGGCTTGTTGAGGTAGGCCCTCGGTTGGTGTAGTCCTGTTGCTTGCTCTGCTTGTTGTGCTTTGTATTTATATCCTAGTGAACTCTTGAACTGGCCTTGTGGCCGCTTGCTTGCGCTCGGAATTTGTGTGGTGTCCTTGAGATCCACCCTGAGCTTGCCTTGGTTCTTGGTTTGACTGGTCTTGTGACCGTTTGTTCACCTTGCTTGCTTTGATGCCCCTCACTTAGCCTATGGGGGTGTGTCAAATGTTGAACATTGATATGATAGGCTATAGTGAGTTGCACTCTAGGGGGTACAGCTTCTAGGGTTGCTCATTTGTACCCCATTCGTTTCTATTCCAATCATTCCGTTGTTCGCTAACTTTGAGATCGTATGTACTATTCAGTATACAAACTTTCACCAACGCAACAAGATGAACACAACAACATCAACGCATTACCCAAGACCTTTTTGCTTGCCGGTAATAGCATATTTTAAGCCTCTATCTCGCTGCAAATCATCCTAAGCTTGGCGGCAATGACTGACATTGGAGGCCTTTGCTCCCAATTGCAGCAAATGGCAAAGCGCACCAGAGTGAAAATAATAAAAGCATGCCTCCTCATCCACTCCCCCTCAAGAGAAGGATCAATAATCAAGGAAGGTTCAGGCGGATCCTTTGAGATCACCAACTGCCTCAGCTCTTGATGTTTTGCACTGAGGGGACTGCAGCTTGAAATCAACTCCAATAGAAACACGCCAAACGCAAACGTGTCAGATTTCTGGCATAGTTGGCCCGTCTGGAGATAGATCGGGTCGATGTAGCCCATCGAGCCAACCACTTTTGTTGACACGTGTGTTTTCCAGTCCTCTATTGTGCGAGCCAATCCAAAGTCAGCTACCACTGGAGTGAAATCCTGCAAGTTGCGCAAGCACAAAAGAAGGGAGACATGAAGATTAGTTAACAGATATGTAGGTGGATTTGGGAAGCACTAATTGGCTAATTGTGATGGGAACAAGCAGCGCTATGGAGCGGAAAAATGGACAGCACAGCAGAACAGGAAACCGAAAGTACAGAACACCCATAAGGGATATAGTTGCGTACCTCTCGCAGAAGCACATTCGACGACTTGAAATCGCGGTGAACGAACTTGTGCTCGTGAATGGCAGCTAGCGCCTCGGCACAGCCTAGTGCCACCTTCATGCGATGCCTCCATGAGAAGTAAAGACCACTTTTGTGGACTGAATGGGGGCAGGAGAGAGGGGAGGGGAGGGGAGAGGGGAAATTAGAGGCATCTCAAAAGACTCCTCAAAAGCACCTCCATGCGATGCCTCCATGGGAAGTGATTATATTATTTTTGGACTGAATGGGGGTAGTAGAGGGGGGGCCCGAGGGAGAGGGGAGATGGGTGGGAGGGAGAAGGGGGGATTTGAGGCGGTTCGAAAAAGCACCCTAGTGCATGCGATGCCTCCATTGGAAGTGAACATAAGTTTTCTGGACTGAATGGGGAGGAGTGAGAGGGGAGGGGAGGGGAGGGGGGACGAAGGAGAGAGGGGGATTAGAGGCAAAACATGGGAGAGAGGAATAAAAATGTGAGAGAGATTATGGAAGAGAGAAGACAAAGTAGGGTGGAGAGGGGTGGGGAGTTGAAGGAAAGGGAGTGTAAGGTAAATAGGCACACCTTGTTTGAGCAAGTTCCTGACATGGCCTCCAGGTATGAGCTCATACACGTGCATCAGCCCCTGTGGTGTGCCTAGTGCCACACCTTTCAAATTGAGAGGGAGTTCTTCTCACCTTGTTTGAGCAAGTTCCTGACATCGCCTCCTGGGATGAGCTCATACACAAGCATCGGCCCCTGGGATGTGTTTAGCGCCACGCCTTCCAGCCTTAGAATGTTGGGATGATTCACTGCTGACATGGCTTCCACCTCAGCCTGAAATCACGGAACAGATAAGAGGGAGTGTGGATTGGCAGGTAAGCAAGGAGTGGATGGATGGAAGGATGAATGAAATGCCTTGAGAGCTAGCACAGATGGCTGATATCTGCTTTGCTTCGGTGAGAACTCGCGCAAGTGATTTGCTTGTTCGCGTTTTGAGACGTCTCAAAACTGAACTCCTGCAAGTGATTTGCTTGTTCGCAAGTGATTTGCTTGTTCGCAAGTGATTTGCTTGTTCGCAAGTGATTTGCTTGTTCGCAAGTGATTTGCTTGTTCGCAAGTGATTTGCTTGTTCACAAGTGATTTGCTTGTTCGCTCACCTTGAAGCTCGTCAAGTCACGAGTAGCACTCTTTCCATTCATCACTTTCACTGCCACGTCATTGTCCCTCATAGCGCCCATAACAGCTCTGCTGCTTCCGCCAATGGCGTAACTCCCGCCAGCGGCGCTGCTTCCGCCAATGCCGCTGCTTCCGCCCGCAGGCAGCACCATCCGCCCTTGGTACACCTTTCCGAACCCCCCCTCCCCTATGGCGCGCGCAAACCCCCCCGTCGCCATGTGCAGATCCGCGAAGCTGAACTCGCGGAGCACAGGGAGGGCGGAGGGGGAAGCGGAAGAGTTTCCCCCGCGGGAAGACCCCGCGGAGCTGCCCGCGGACTGGCTGGCGGAAGACCCCGCGGAGATTATGGCGGGGGGAAGCGGTTCCGCTGATGAAGTAGTGGCGGAAGCGGAAGCATGATATGCGGAGTCGTAAAAGGCCTTTGCGCGAAGACTGGGGCTGGCGGAAGGGGAGGCGGCGGAGCCATTATTAGGGTTGGCGGAAGGGGAGGGGGGAAAGGAGGAGGCGGGGGGTGGAGTGGATGGGCTTCCGGGGACCTGAGCAGGCGGGGGGGAAGGGTTGACGGGTACGACGGCGGAAAAATGGTGGGGAGTCGCTCCGCGGATAGGCTCAGAATGGCATTGGCGGTAGGGCGACAAGGGGGACGGCGTATACGGCGGAATGGTAGGCGCGGGGAACTGGTGCGCGCCGGTGGTTGCGGGAGGTTGAGTGGAATTGCCTGCAGGGGGCAACAGGTTTAGGGTACGTTGGTGAGTCAACATTCGAAGGGCCTCAAGAGGGGTCAACGAGGTCAACGGGGTCAACGGGGTCAGAAATGAGGTGGAAAGACAGTGGACTTCACTGACGAGGGGTAACATACATTTTGTAACACGCACGCGAAACAGGCTGACGGGCAACTTAGTGCTTTTGCTGACATGCTTTTGCTACTCACCGTCCGCATTAGTCACTTTCACCGGCGCCGCATGCGCGTCGTCGTTAGAAAAACCGCTGCTACAGCAGTTGCCCATGAATGCGGTGTAGAAATCTCCGCGAGTTACAGAAAGTGGCTGAAAGTGGAGATTCCGAAAAGGCCGATAATAATGATATTCGAAGCTGCGGAACGAAAACGTATGGCTGCGAAGTGAAGCTGAGTCGACACGAAAATATGTGGTTGCGAAGACCGTGTATACTGTCGGAGGCAGCGAGGTTGCCAGGAGGCGCTGGTCGCGCAGCGTAAGGACAGCAGGCGATGAAAAGACTACTACTATACACTAAGAAGTTCGATTGCGAGAATATATACACGAGAAGATCTGTGAGAATTTGTCAGGCACTACCATACATTGTGGACTGGAAGCAGAGTGCGAGAATATATGCTGGAGTAGATCTGAGGTGCTGTGGATAGCTGACAGCAGTGACGGCCATTCAGCCTCGAAGAGGAAATTAGTTGACTTCGGTCGAGCAGCGGATGCACATGCAGGTGTAGAACGATGTGCGTGGGTGCGAGACACGTTGAGAAGAGGATACAGGGGTGGGGTGAGGTGGAACCGCGGCTAGGAAGGTGGGAGGGAAGGTCGCTTTCCCTTGACATGCACTGGACGGGTGATGGGACGGTCAGGGAGGGGACAGAGGGATGAGAATGGACTTTTGAAAACATGGGAAACTGGTACCCATAATGGTGCACGAAGCGAGGCGGACAATATCGAAGCATATTATTCGGACGAAGATGATACAGATTTGGGATGTTTGACACTGACCACTACGACGCCGTTGACCTCGTTGATGAGGGCACACCAGACAGCCCAATCATTTTGAATGTCTAGGTCAACATAGAGCTTAGAATTCAAAAATTGTCCTGAAATATTCCAAGAAAACATTTCTCAAAAGCTGTTTACAGTAAATTCGTCGAAGACCAGCAGCATGGGTGCACCTCACTCATCTAGAACACTGTATTTGCCACCTCCTATTCCAGGTGAAGTATGGAGGCTAAGATGGATGATGTGGGTGTGTGTCACATAATAATGCCTAACATTATGAATTTCTCCCACTATCTAGAAACTGTACGTTTGCGCCTATGCATGCTCCTTCGTCTAAAATGATCCTCACTGCTCTTTCAAGAATTTCTTGCTTGACATCCACCATCTTCCTACCTTCCTGCAAAAAAGTAAAAAAAACATGACTTTAAAGTGAAAGCAAGTCCAAAAACTACCAACACTCCTGGACCAATGCACATACCCAAGTCAGCTCATGGTACCATGGGGGAGGGGGTGGCGGGCAGGGGGGGTTAGGTGATGGTGTGCAACAGCCTTATGGGTGCAACATGATACTTGACAATGTCATGGGGTAATCATGTCAAGAAAATGACATTGCGAACATTGAATGCAGCATGCCACATTCTGAGATTTCTCAAAATTGAATGCCGCACACTAATAGTTATATGTAAGACTGATTGCTCACATTGATTGCCATGTGCCATGAATAGAGTTGTCGTAATTCCCCAAACTACACTGAGGTGCTATACAAAAAAAAAAAAAAATGTACAGAACCCTGAACACCACGTTTGACAACTATGCGCATTAGCCCATGCAAGAAAAAAAAATCACCTGAACTCTCACCTGAGGTTTCATTTAAGCCAACATGCACACATGCAGACTCTCCCCTTGTCTGACAACCAAGAGCAGCTAATGCAACAAAAACACCTGAACTCTCACCTGGGGGTTCAGCGAAGCCAACATGCCCACATGCAGGCTCGCCCCGCTGAGATCCTTCAGCACTGCGTGCGCGGGGCCCTGTGATTGGTCCACGTCAGCATGCGACCTCAGCATGCGGGTGATGCGGGACGTGATGCTTTGCACTCGCTCGATATCCTCTATTTGGAGCTCGAATGTGACTGCTAAGGGATAGCACTGGGCTCGGGAGAAGTTGGTGATCACCTGGTTGGTTGGGGGGAATGGGTAACATGTCAGGAGCAGGAGTGCAAGGACTTTTGAGGCGCCTCAACAGTGGTAACATGTCAGGAGCAGGAGTGCAAGGATGATAGGATACTATGTATGGTTCTGTGATGATAGGATACTATGTATGGTTCTGTGATGATAGGATACTATGTATGGTTCTGTGATGATAGGATACTATGTATGGTTCTGTGATGATAGGATACTATGTATGGTTCTGTGATGATAGGATACTATGTATGGTTCTGTGATGATAGGATACTATGTATGGTTCTGTGATGATAGGATACTATGTATGGTTCTGTGATGATAGGATACTATGTATGGTTCTGTGATGATAGGATACTATGTATGGTTCTGTGATGATAGGATACTATGTATGGTTCTGTGATGATAGGATACTATGTATGGTTCTGTGATGATAAGATACTATGTATGGTTCTGTGATGATAGGATACTATGTATGGTTCTGTGATGTTAGCATGTGTTGCAAATTGCAATCCCACAACGTCCCTTGGTCCAATCCCGCAGACGAAGAGATGCATTGCAGCACTCAATTGCAGGGATTTGTTGAGAGGAAAAAAAAAAAGAGCATCCATGTATTGGAGCACTCCGTGTTGCGCTGAGAGTGTGACTCGTGAAATACTCATTATAAGCACACCGGCATAGCCGTAATAGGGGCACTCACTGCAGTGTTGAACATCTGGTTGGGCACCACGACTGGCGCCTTGTCTGCCCCAGCCAGTCTGGTGTGCAAAAATCCAATCTCCTCCACCTGCCCCGAGATGGCCCCTGCTTTGATTGATGCATCCCCTGTCCCTGCTGTACTCGTTATAGGTGCACTCACTGCAGTGTTGAAGATCTGATTGGGCACCACGACTGGCGCCTTGTCTGCCCCAGCCAGTCTGGTGTGCAAAAATCCAATCTCCTCCACCTGCCCCGAGATGCCCCTGCTTTGATTTATGCATCCCCTGTCCCTGCTGTACTCGTTATAGGTGCACTCACTGCAGTGTTGAAGATCTGATTGGGCACCACGACTGGCGCCTTGTCTGCCCCAGCCAGTCTGGTGTGCAAAAATCCAATCTCCTCCACCTGCCCCGAGATGGCCCCTGCTTTGATTGATGCATCCCCTGTCCCTGCTGTACTCGTTATAGGCGCACTCACTGCAGTGTTGAAGATCTGATTTGGCACCACCACTGGCGCCTTGTTTGCTCCAGCCAGTTTGGTGTGAAGAAACCCAATCTCCTCCACGCGCCCCGATATGGCCCCTGCTTGAATGCTCTCCCCCACCACGAATGGCTGTGAAATCACCAGCACTAGCCCGCCAAAGAAATTCGCGACTATTTCCTTGGAGGCGAATCCCATGGCGACACCTGCCGGTTGGGGAAGGAAGTGTTAGAAATAGTCAGTCAACACTTTGTACTATATTCTATATCGGTTAGGTTACTTTGTAGGTTGGGTGTAGATTTGTAATCCCAACCCTATCTGGTTGGGATTCCCTCGTAATCCTGCAAATCTGCCAACTCACCAATTGGAGATTTGCTAGGATTCCCATCCCATCCTTTCCCTAGCTTTGCTCAACCCAACCCTGTTTGTACTTAAGGCCTAGTGCCTTCCTTATCAAGCAATCAGTTCAATTCCAATTCTATCATGGTATCGAGCTAGTAAATTCCGCTCACGCGGAATCCGATCCTTGGCGTCCCGATGGTTCTCTCCTTTTAGGCTATGCCTATTTCGGTTCCCGGCTCCTACGCTTAGCGTTTTTCAGAAACTTCACATCGTCGCTCCGGTCAAGCGCGCATTCGGCTTCCTTCATCGCGCATCTCGTTTTTCAACGGCGACATTCTCAGCTTTCGACTTCCTTCATCGTAAGCTTCTGGTTTTTATATCTCCGTGGCAATTTTCGCATCTTCTTAACTTCGAACAGGTTTTCAGCGGCGCAGCGGAACAGGTCCAGCGGCGCAGCGGAACAGGTTTTCAGCGGCGCAGCGGAACAGGTCCAGCGGCGCAGCGGAACAGGTTTTCAGCGGCGCAGCGGAACAGGTCCAGCGGCGCAGCGGAACAGGTTTTCAGCGGCGCAGCGGAACAGGTTTAGCGGCGCAGCGGAACAGGTTCAGCGGCGCAGCGGAACAGGTTCAGCGGCGCAGCAGAACAGGTTCAGCGGCGCAGCAGAACAGGTTCTGCGGCGCAGCAGAACAGGTCCAGCGGCGCAGTAGAACAGGTCAGCGGCGCAGTAGAACAGGTCAGCGGCGCAGCAGAGAAGCGGAACAGGGGCAGCAGCGAAGCAGAACAGGGGGCATTGGCGAAGCAGTATATCAGGGTATAGTACGGGCATTCTATTGCCAAAATCGCGTTTCGAACTTCCTCAATTTCCAAAATCACCCGAACTCCGCTCCGCTAGGTATCGGAGACTTTAGCGCTGCGCTCCGCACGAAATGGCAACTTCAACTTCCACTCTCGTCGGAAACCTCATCATCCTTAACCTCGCTCCCAACGGCACGAGCACCAATTTCGGGGAGTGGTGCTATGGAGTGGAGAAGCACCTCCTTAGCTCGGAGCTCAAGGGGATTTGCCTCAAGGACATCCTCCTCAATCGCGGCAAGGGGAAGATGCCTCTTCCTCCCGATCCTCTCGGCGAAGGCGCCACTGCCACAGCCAAGCTTGCTTTCGACGCTAAAACCACCAAGTATGAGACGGACTTCAGTCTCTGGGAGCAGGCGGATGCGGCAGTGATTAGGGTTTTCATCACCACCACCCCAGTCGAGTTAGTCAAGTCCTACCGCACCTTCCGCTCTGCGCATGACATTTGGAAGTACCTCCAGGATCGCTTTCATGACAAAACTGCCGTGGGAGTTGCAATCCTCATTCCTCGCATGTTCCAAATCCGCCTTGAGGAATGCCCGGGCATGGCAGACTACATCTCTAAAATCCGCAACATCCATGAGGAGCTCAAGGACATTGGGATCACCTTCCCCGAACAGGCACCTGCTGCTGGGCTTCTCGTCGGACTCACCCCGGCCTACAACGTCACCAGTTCCATGCTCAAGCAGCTCCCCACCAAGGAACTCACCTTCGAAAAAGTCGCTTCGGCCCTTCTCTCTGCCAAAAAGGACCTTGCAGCCCAGGCATCCGTCAATGCTGTGCGCTACTCCCCTGGCATCCCATTTCGTTCCCAGCAGGGCCAGAGGCGCAACTCCTTTCCCCCATGCCAGTACCTCATTAGGTAGGGTCCACGTGCGGGGCAGAAATGCAACGGCACCGACCACCCTGAGGCAACTTGCTTCAAGAAGCGAGATGACGAGTGGTATGACGTCCACGGTGTCTCCAAGGACAAGCGCCCTCCCAACTGGGCACCACCCCGTCGCGTGAACCAGGTCGAGGCAGTGGAGGAACCTGCTCAGGCATTTGCTAGTGCCCCATCTGATGTTCGCCTTAACCTGTTGTTCTCTGGTGCTGGTCTTCTTAATGAGAAGGGGTCGCAGTACATCGGTGTTTCAACCACACAGGGAATTGAGTTCATACTAGACAGTGGTGCCACCCACACAGTGCTTAAAGACCAAACTGTCTTCGTTCCCTACCAGGCTCCCACCTCACTCCTTGGAGCCGATTCTAGCTTCTCCATCCAATGCCATGGGTCCTCCACAGTTTCCTGTCCAGCTTTCCCATCCGGCACAGTCACTGGCATCTGTGCCCCTACCCTCCGCTACAACCTTCTTGCACAGCGGGAAATCCAACACGCAGGCGTGATCACCATCTTTCCCAATGATGTTGACTACTGTGACATGTTTGACGCCAAAACCGGACTCCATCTTGCCCGCTTTACCCTCAACTCCAACAACCTGTACACACTAGTTGTACCTCCCGTTCAAACATGCTCCCTCACCAACCTTCCGCTTCCATCCTTAGACTCCCCCTCATGTCACTGCCGCCTCCTCAATGACAAGACTATGCTATTTCATAACCGCCTCGGCCACATCAACTTCCGCGCACTTTCAGACCTTGCCACCAAACAACTCCTTCATGGGCTGCCCGCCTCACTTCCACAACCCCCCTCTCTTTCTGGACCACCTTGCCTTGACTGTGCACAGAGCAAGCTTTGGGAACAGCCCCATCCTCCCACTGAGTCCACCTCTACCGCACCTCTTGATCGCGTACACATGGACCTTTGGGGTCCAGCTCCTGTTCGTTCCCGTGGCGGACACTTCTACTTCCTTGTCATCGTTGATGACTATTCCCGCTATGTGTCCGTTCACCTTCTCACCGCCAAGTCTGAAGCCCCAGCCATTATCATGGAATGGGCAAGGCAGGCTCATTCACACTTCAAAACCAAAATCAAGATTCTTCACTCTGACGGTGGCGGTGAATTCCGCAACAACACTCTCAAAGCTTTCTGCTCTACTGAGGGTATTCGTCAGACCTTCACCCTCCCAGACAGCCCTCAACAGAACGGTGTTGTTGAGAGCCGAAACCGCATCCTGGTGCAGATTGCTCGCTGCCTCCTCACTCATGCTTCCGCCCCTCCCTCTCTTTGGGGATACGCCATGCTCCATGCTGCCGCCCTCCACAATCTCCATCCTCATCCTCACCACACCCACACCACCCCCGCAAAGCTGTGGACGGGTCAAAAGCAGTCCGTCCGCCCTCTTCGTGTATAGGGGTGCACTTCCTATGTTCTCCTCAACTCCCAAGCCCGTCGTGCAGCTGGCGGCAAGCTTGCTCCGAAAACAATCACGTGCGTGTACCTCGGGCACAACTCGGACTCGCCAGACTACCTCTTCCTCCATCCTACCACCAACAAACTTTATCGCAGCCGAGATGTTTTCTTCGATGAATCCCACCCGTTCTACCCCTCCTCCACAGTTTCTCCTTCTCCTCCGCCTCCTTCTCTTACTTGGGCTGACTTTGACAGCCTTCCTCCTGCCACCACTCCATCTCCTCCTCTTCCTGCTCCCTCCACAGTTTCCGACCCCCCGTCACCCGCTTCCCCTTCCAGCACCACGCAGTCTCCCCCGCTCCTTCCCGCCCCCGAGCCCATTCCTCTCAAAACCTACTAACGCCGTCCTCCTGCTGCTGCTCCTCCTCCTGATCCAGCTCCTCCTCCTGATCCAGCTCCTGCTCCTGATCCAGCTGCTGTTCCTGATGCTGCCACTACACCTGCTGCTTCTCCCCCTCCAGCTCCGCCTCCCTCCCCCATCGCTGGTCGCACCCGCTCGCGTAAAGCTCCCAAGCCTCTTTCCCTTTCCATTCGTGTCTCTCTCAATCCTCCTCCTATCGGGGGTGATTATTCGCTCATGCCCTCCCTTCTTGAGGACAGACATGAGGAGTTGATTGAGATTGACTCAGCCATACACGCACTCTGCTCCCTCTTTCCAGATATCGCAGAATCTCCCACCCTCGACTTCTCGGACAACCCCTCCATCCCCACACCTCTCACCTATGCTGAAGCAGTTTGTGGTCCTCACGCCGCTCAATGGCTAGGGGCCATTGTCGCAGAGTGTGAGGCCTTCATTCACACAGGAACTTTCACAGATGTCTCTCCTCCTTCCGGCGTCAACATTGTGAAGGGAAAATGGGTTTTCCGGGTGAAACAACTTCCAGGCGAATTTCCCGTCTTCAAAGCCCGGTACTGTGCCAAGGGATTTACCCAAAAGCATGGACTGGACTTCTTTGAGACATTCTCTCCCACCGCCAAACCTCCCACACTGCGCACCCTTCTCGATGTTGCCGCTCGAGATGACATGGAGGTTGACTGCATGGATGTGTCCTCTGCGTTTCTGCAAGGGATCCTTCGAGAGGAAATCTACATGGAGCGGCCCGAAGGATTTCCAGCTCCTTTTCCACCAGGCACTGTATGGAAGCTGAATCGACCAGTCTATGGCCTCAAGCAAGCACCCCGGGAATGGCACAACAAGCTCAAGAGCACCTTAGGGTCCCTCGACTTTCACCCATCCACCTCTGACCCCAGCCTCTTCATCCGAGCAACACCATCCCGCTTCTTCATCTTGGTTTATGTCGATGACATAATCCTCGTCACCAAGGATCAGACTGAGCTGGCAGCAGTCAAAACCGCACTTGGTGAGAAGCTGGCTATGAAGGATCTTGGGAAACTGACGAACTATCTGGGCATGGAAATCACACGTGATCGCACGGCCCGCACCATCACCCTCTCGCAGAAGTTCTACATCAACAACGTTCTGACCAGGTTTAAGATGCAGGAAGCAGCTTCAATGCCCACCCCACTCTCTCTGCAGCACCAACTCACTGCACCCTCTGTTCCCTCACCTGAGCCCTGTGATGAGGCTTACCCCGAGCTCGTCGGTTCCCTCATGTACGCGATGATGTGCAGTCGACCAGATTTGGCCTATCCAGTCAGTGTCCTGTCTCGCTACGTTGCACCTGGTCGCTTCACGAGCCACCACTTGTCTGCCGCCAAGCGGGTCCTCCGCTATCTCAAAGGCACACAGGACTATGTGCTCACTCTTGGCGGCTCTTCCCCTGTTCGCCTTGAGGGGTACAGTGACTCGTCCTATGCTGATGACCAGAGTGATCGGCGCTCTTCCCAAGGATATTATTGCTTTACCCTTGGCAGTGGGGTTGTCAGTTGGCGCTCCACTCGGTCGTCTTCCGTCTCACTGTCGACCTGTGAGGCAGAGCTGTATGCCGGGACCATGGCTGCCCAAGAGGCCCGTTGGCTCTCCTTCTTGCTGGCAGAACTTGGGTATCCTCAACCAGCCCCAACGCTTTGGTGTAACGAGAGCACCATTCATCTCACAAAGGACCCCGTCTTCCACGGCCGCACCAAGCACATTGAGGTCCGTCACTACTTTCTTCGTGAGCTGGTGCAGCGCGAGCAGCTGAAGGCTGAACACATTGCCTCCGACTGCAACCTTGCTGACTTGTTTACCAAGTCTCTTGTTCGCCAAGACCACTACCGCCTCCTCTCGTCCATGGGTGTTGGGCCGCCATGTGGCTGAAGTGTTGTCAGCCTAGGGGGTGTGTTAGAAATAGTCAGTCAACACTTTGTACTATATTTTATATCGGTTAGGTTACTTTGTAGGTTGGGTGTAGATTTGTAATCCCAACCCTATCTGGTTGGGATTCCCTCGTAATCCTGCAAATCTGCCAACTCACCAATTGGAGATTTGCTAGGATTCCCATCCCATCCTTTCCCTAGCTTTGCTCAACCCAACCCTGTTTGTACTTAAGGCCTAGTGCCTTCCTTATCAAGCAATCAGTTCAATTCCAATTCTATCAAGAAGTTGGGGGTGTTGGGTGGTGGGAGTGTGGATGATCAATTTTTGAGGGTTGAAGGGGGGCTGGAGGTCTGGGGTGCTTGTTTAGGTCCCATATGGCCCCTGCTTGTATGCTCTCTCTCCCCCACCACGAATGGCTGTGAGATCACCACCAGCACCAGCCCATCAAAGAAATTTGCGACGATCTCCTTAGACGCGAATCCCATGGCGACACCTGGCGTTTAGGTGATAAGTAAGGTTGGTAGATGGGAGGGGTTGGGGAATGGGAGAGGTTGGGGAAAAGGAAATGTTGGGGTATGGGGGGAGGCGGGACCACCTACCTTCTGCAATCTGAGATGCTGGGAGGGCAAGGGGGTGGCAAAATACGGATGAATTCATATGCTATCCACCTACCTTCTGAAAACACCAGAATTTATATGCTATCCAGCCACAGCCAAATTCACTCACTTTCTCTCACTCACACCCTCACTTCCTCACTTCCTCCCTCCCTTGCACCCCGAAGGTGCCGCCCACCTGAGATGCCGCCCACCTGAGATGCCGCCCACCTGAGATGCCGTCCACCTGAGATGCCTCCCACCTGAGATGCCGCCCACCTGAGATGCCGCCCGCCTGAGATGCCGCCCACCGGAGATGCCGCCCACCGGAGATGCCGCCCATGGCCACAAGGGAGAACAGCGAGACACTGAAGAGGTCAAGCACCGTGCCCGCCCCAGCCAGGTCTCTCAGTCACCTTTCACTACACTCACATTCACTCACTATTCACACTCGCTCACTAACTCTCTCGCACCTGAGATGCCGCCCACAGCCACCAGGGAGAAGAGCGAGACACCGAAGAGGTCAAGCACCGTGCCCACACCCGCCAGGTGGATGAGCAGCGAGAGGAAACGACTGACGTTGAGCACAATGGGCTGGTGGTGGGGGACAGGAGTGGAGGAGCATGGGAGAGAGCGGGGATGAGGGGCGGAGGGGAGAGGCTGACCCCAGGTGGAAAAGGTATAGCCTCCTGGGTGGATCAGTCGTTTCCTCTCGCTGCACCATGCCAGCCCCCACTAGGTGGATGAGCAGCGAGAGGAAACGACTGACGTTGAGCAAGATGGGCTGGTGGTGGGAGGGCATGGAGGGGAGTGGGGATAGAGTGGAGGAGGGGAGTAGGGGCGGGGAAGGAGAGGGGGTAGGTGGGGGCGGGGGTGGCAGAAGGGAACGGGGGCGGAAGTTGGGGGGGGAAGTGGGGGATGGGAAAGGGGGAGCCAGTATCCCGCAGGTATACCGCCGCCAACACAGCAAGTCACTACGTAGGGTACTACTGGGCCATGCCATGCGCTTTACGTACCTCAGTGTCTTTTTGAGGCGCCTAAAAAAGCGCTTTTTGTACCTCAGTGTCTTTTGAGTCAACGAAAAAAGCACAAGGCCATGCACACTGTGTACCACTGGGTGCTTTTCCGCTGGGTGCTTCTGCAGCACCGTTCGCATCACCCTGTCCTTCCATCCCACTGCAAAGCACGTCACCGCCACCACCACCAACATCATTGCTATTACATCTCAAAGGGTACAAAGCCACACACGCACACACACCCTTTCCGCTGGGTGCCTCTGCAGCACCATTCGCATCACTCTGTCCTTCCATCCCACTGCAAAGCACGTCACCGCCACCACCACCAACATCATTGCTATTACATCTCAAAGGGTACAAAGCCACACACGCACACACACCCTTTCCGCTGGGTGCCTCTGCAGCACCATTCGCATCACTCTGTCCTTCCACCCCACCGCAAAGCACGTCACCGCCACCACCACTGAAACCATTCTGAACCTCCGCAGGAGGAAGGGGCTCAGGTGGAGCTTTGCTAGCGGCAAGAGGAGGCGCATGCTGCAATGACGAGGGGGAGGGAGGGGGAAAAGAGGGGGAGAAGAAAGGAATGGGGAGACGCTTTACCGCCGCTGCTGCCACCAGCACCACTGAAACCATCCTGAACCTCAGGAAGAGGAAGGGGCTGAGGTGGAGCTTGGCGAGGGACAAGAGGAGGCACATGCTGCAATGACGAGGGGGAGGGAGTGGGGGATGGGGAGAGAAAGGAAGGGTGTGTGGAAGGAGAGGAAACAAGGAAAAGGGAGAGACGCTTTGCCACCACACGGTTACCAACAGTTACAAGCGGTAATGAGCAGTTACAGGAATGCCGGACTTACTATCTTGTGAGGAAAAATGCGGCGGCAACAAACGGTAGAAGGAGCTCGAGGGCGCTTAGAAGCGGTGACAAGCAGTGACAAGCGGTGACAGTCGATAACAGGGCGGCTGCCTTACTGTCTGGTGAGGAAGAAAGCTGCAGCGACGAACTGCAAGGGAAGCACGAGAGCTCCAAACACAGAGTCCTGGAAGCACTCCTCTGTGACTCCATTGCCCCGCATGATGATGGAGGCCCACAGCCTGGGAGGGGGTGGGGGGAGGGATGGTAACGGAAGGGGACAAAGTAACAAGAGAATCGAACACTGAGTCCTGGAAGCACTCTTCTGTGACTCCATTGCCCCGCATGATGACGGAGGCCCACAGCCTGAGATGCAGCAGGGGAAAAGGGTGGTAGTAACAGGGAGGCGTTAGCAAGCTGTGAGGGAGCACTGGGGCAGTGCATTCAAGAGCTCTCAACACTGAGTCCTGGAACCCCTCCTCAGTCACGTGTAATGAGGGTATTTTTGAGACGTCTCAAAACTACCCTCATTAGTGCAGCGCATTCAAGAGCTCCGAACACTGAGTCCTGTTCAGAGCTCTGGACTGAGCAGTCCTGGAACCCCTCCCCCTCCTCAGTCACACCACCATCTCACATCATGAAGAAGGGCCCACAGCCTGAGATGCAACGGCAAAGGATGGTATCAGTAAATGGAGGTGTTAGGTACCTGTGAGGGAAGCACTGGGGTGCAGTGCACTTGGCAGCACCGAACATGGATGGAACAAGAGAAGGAGATCATCACCTAGTGATGGTTATTGCACTGGTAGATCTTCATAAGTTATGTGCTGGCTGGTGGCATTGTCATGTAAAAAACACATTAACACGATGACATTGCAGAAATATCACATTGTAATGAGATGACATTGTAATCAATCAATTGATGGTGAGTACCAGTTGAGAGCTCGACAGACGTGGGGTGTGACAGCGAAGAGGGCGACGAGAGCGAGAAACACGATCGACTCCCGCAGAGCAATCACAACCTGCCACGTGGCATGAAATCCAGGGTCCACGTGGCATGAGATGTGATATTTGACCCTGTATTGTAGGGGAGCAGCGACCAGTGACGTGGTTAGATAGATATGTACTCTCAACTCAATAACAGCACTGATCGGAATTGGTGACATCTCAGAACCAGCACAGCACTCACCAGTGTCTCTGATGCCAGCACAGCACAGCACAGCACTGGTCACATGGGCCGGATTTTGAGGCGCCTCAAAATGTATTTTGAGGCGCCTCAAAATGTGTCTCTGATGCCTGCACAGCACTGGTCACACGGGCCGGAAGCCACGTCAGCAGCCCTGCAGACTGCTCCCCAGGCATGAGCACGTGGGAGTAGGGCGTTCTGGCGCAGTTGCTGAGGAGATTGTCCTCAAGCATGGGGGCACAGCGAGCCATGCTTGGCATGATGACTCATGGGTGACTGGGTTACCCACATGGGCCGCACTTACCAGCATCTCTGATCGCTGCACAGCACTGGTCACATAAGCCGGCAGCCATGCCAGCAGTCCAAGCGATTTTTCGCCAGGCATGAGAACGTAGGAATAGAGAGATCTGGCGGAGTTGTTGAGGAAGTTATCTTCCAGCATAGGGGCACAGCGAGACACACATTGAACCACTCGCATCGCCTTCCCTGCCACGGGTGGTAGCGCTGACATCCCACCTGCTGCTGCTCCTGCTGATGCTGCCGTTGCTCTCTCAGCAGCTCCTGCAAATAACGCAGCAGCAACAACAGCAGCAGCAATAATTACGCGAATTTCTGCCCACGCTCTTCGCTTTGGGCTGGCAGGAGTTGCTGATCTGCCTGGTACCCCCCCTGCTGCTGCTCCTGCCCCTGCTCCTGCTGCTGCTCCTGCTGCTGCTCCTGATCCTGCTCCTGCTGGTGCTGCTTCTGCTGCTGCTCCTGCCCCTGCTCCTGCCCCTGCTCCTGCCCCTGCTCCTGCTGCTCCTGCTCCTGCTGCTGGTTCGTTCAGCACTACAGCAGCGCCCGTGCCAGCCCCTACCGCTGCAACCTCTCCAAATCCTGCGGTAGCATCAGCAGAGAAACTCGCACGCATTCCTGCTCCTGCTCCTTGAATTGCGTTGTGCGTTGCTCCCTGGGTTGCGCTGTGCATTTCGCAGTTGGTTGCTCTGTGCTGCGTTGTTCCCTGAGTTGCTCTGTGCGCTGCTCCGTGGAGTAATGCACGCACTGACCAAGTAGAGCTACCAGAGGGTGCTGGTGTGCCTGGTACCCCCCGCCTCCGCTGCTGTGTGCTGTCGCACAATCCACCCGCCATGCATGACTGCGTTGTTCCGTGGCTTGCTCCCTGGGTAGCTCCTTGCGGTAATGCACGCACTGACCAAGAGTTGGCAGGGGGTGGTGGTGATCCTGGTAACCCGCGCCTCCATTGCTGTGTGTTGCCGCTGAATCCACACCCTATGCATGCCTGCGTTGCTCCACGGGCTGCTCTATTAATTTCTCGGGTGCTTGCCTCGTGGATTGCTCTATGCGTTGCTGCCTGCGTTGATCCGTGGGGTAATGCACACAATGACCAAGAGCTGGCGGCGGGTGATGGTGTGCCTGGTGGTAAGCGCCATGACCAAGAGACGGAGGATGATGTCGTCATTGATGACGTGGCGGGTGGGTGGGTGGCTATAACTAGGCACCTGAGGATTCGATGCGTTACGACGACAAAGAATAATAAATTAGTGTGAAATTGTATTAAATTGTAACTACATGCACCGTACTGCGCCCCTCACAAGTGTGTACCGTGCCACGTACTTTGAGTTGCCGGCGTTCCGGCGGCAATTGGGTAGATATAGATTATTGGTAAGCACTGCTGGAGGAGGTTCAGAACGATAAAATACGGTTCAGAGCAGCAGCATTCGCAATCGGAAGTGATCGGGAGCAGCTCATGAGCGAAAGGCCGTTGGTGAATCATGCGACGTTGACTGCTGGCGACACTTGGAGACAAGGATACCGAGGGACGATGATCGTTCGACTCCAAGGGGGCAAGCCATGAGATTGGTGCGAGGGAGTCAGGAGGATTCAAGAGGAGTAAGAAATCTGGAATCTGAAATATAGAATCTAGAATCTAGAACCTGCGAAATTGGAATATCGAGGCCCTGCTGCAGGTTCCACGAGGTTACAGCAGCGCTATCTGGATTTTCGAGGCCGGATTCCCGAAGCACGCGTGGGGAAGTCGGAAAGTAGGCAGCAATGGCACAATCTCGAGGGAAGTCAGGTGCGCTGCTGCGGGCCTGGCGGCAATCTCGAGCAGCTCAGATGAGCTTGATAATACAGTGGTGCCGTTGCTTTTGACTGGACTTAACGTTATAGACCATTTCAACTAGTTCGAGCTTGATTCCCTCTTTTTAAAGGCAGTGGTAATACGTAGGGTTTATACATAGGGTCTCATTCCATGAAAGAGTACCTCAGCACTTCATCCTTCAATAAATATGCTGAATTAAAACCATCAATCCTCCACAAGTTCCTTCCTAACCCCCTGCACCACTACATTAGCACATTAATTCGCGTCCAATAAAAGACAATAAAAAGACGATAGAAGGATTATTAAAAGACATGCCCTTCTCCAACAGGGCAGTGGCCCCATTCCTCCACTCACCCTCTACAGTCTTTTCCCCACCCCCCACCCCACGCCTGCGGCCAATCTCCTCCTGCGACCTACTTCAGCATCCATCGCCGCTATTGCACAGGCCAACCTCTCACAACTCCTGCACGCATCCTCCCCCTTACGCCTCCTGCGCCCATCCCGTCCTGTCCTCCCTCAACACTCGGTCCCCTTCTCCCATCACACCGTGAGACTGGGCAGCATCTCCAGCCCCTGCTCCAGCTGCGCTGCTGTTGTGCAATTGCCCTGTCTACACGCAAGCCCTTTTGTGGCGCCCCAGAAGGCGCTCCCCCGGCACCCGCTCTCTCTTCTCCCCTCACACCTTAAGTCTGGGCAGCGTCCTCAGCCCCTGCTCCAGCTGCCTGTGCGCCGTTTGCTCCCCCGCGCCTCCCTGCTGCCTCTGCGCGAGCGGGCAGATGGGCGCGCCCGCGGGCCGGCTGGGGAAGGCGGAAGGAGGGTACGCGGGGGGACAACGCGGGGGGGCGTGCGAGGGGAAGTCTGGCGCATGGGGGGGGTGGTATGCAGGGGGGAAGGGCGGGGTGTGTGAGCGCGTGTGCGCGGGTTTCTGTAGGGGGAGCGGATGCGGGTATTGATTGCTGTGAAAACGACGGTAATCCTGCTGTTGCTCCTGCTCCTGCTCCTGCTGCTGATGCTGCTGCTGCGGCTGCTGTTCCCGATTCTGCTCCTGCTGCTGCTGCTGCTGCAGGTACTGCTGATATTGGTGACACTGCTGCTGATAGTACATCTGCTGCTGCTGCGCTTGCTGTTGCTGCTGGTGATGCTGGTGATGCTGGTAGTACCGGCGTTGCTGCGTCTCATCCCCCTCTGACGCGCACTGCTGCGGTCGAGGGTGCATGTTAGGGTGTGAGTGTGGCCGCGCCAGCATACCACCCCCGTGCGCATGGTAACCCGGGTAATAAGCATAATTGCCCTCGCGCGTCTCGAACGGTCCTCCATGAGGATAACATCCGTTATAGTCACTGTCGCGCATAAGACCGGCCCTCTCCGACTCCAACCCGTCAAAGCTTCTCCGCCGCTCCGCATCTCGCGGCGCATCAAGCGGGGGAACCGCGTCTTGAAGCTCCGCGGGAGACGATACGTAGGAGCGCGACCGCATCGGATGCGGGCGGTGGCCGGCTGAAGCCACGTGGCGCGTTTCTTTCCGCTCGTCGCCGTGATTCGAGGGAGGCATCCGCGCTGTCGGTTCCGCCTCAGATCGGTCGGTTCGAATCGGCGCGCTTGCCGGCCGGGAGCTAGTGAGCGACGGACGCGTGGCGCCGCCAGATGAATGCGCGGAGCCGCCAGAGGAATGCGCGGCGGCGCCAGACGGGCGCGATATGCGGTGTAGACAGGGCGGGTCCATGAGCGACTCGCCATTGCGGATGGGTTCCGCTTCCTCCGCCTGTTGCACCAAGGCGGAGACGGGGGAACGGGGGAGATAGGGAGGGGGAAGACGGGGGAGGGGGGAGATGAGAGGAGAGGAAAAATGAGAAAGGAAAGACGGGATGGGGGGAGGGAGAAGGGGAGACGAGGGAGGGGAAACACTGGACAGGGGCAAGATGGTATAAGGGAAGGGTGAGGGATCGAGAGCTGATCGATAAAGTGGAGTCGTTATGAAATCTCCGCCTGGAAACGGCTGGAATGCGCACGGATGTGCGGGAACGGTGCGCGGGGAAGGACGGGGCAGAGCGGGGGAGGGCGGGGAACGGCGGGGGAGGTGCGGGAGAAAGAGAGACGGAGAAAGAGGAAAGGGAACGGGGAGAGAACGGAGAGAGGGGGGGAGAACGGAGAGAGGGGGAGAGAAGCGAACAGGTTCCGTGCAACACGGCCGCACTCGTCCGTACCTTGAGTTTTTCGGGCGCGGGCGAGTCGAAGGCGATCAACACGCCGCCGCACAGCGAGCCACTGCACGCAGCGAGGCCGAACCCCATCACCAGGTAATCCACCATCGCCATGCGACGCGCGCGACAACTCGGCGGCTGCTCAACGACAGCTCGGCGACAGGCGGAGCGACAACTATGTGACACGACTCGGAAGTCGTGTTCTGTCCGATTCCAAATGATGCACTTACGACCGGCGAGACGTCGAAGTTAGGCAAAAGGCGAAACTAACAAACAATATATTGATGTGCCTTCAAAAAATGTTGATCCACTTTTTACAAACTAGAAAATCTGTAAGGTGGTTGCTTGAGAACGTTTGTAGTGTTAGTAGATACAAAGCCAGAGACGATCTGTTGTTGATTGACCAGCCAACCTGGCAGCTGAGCAGAAACGATGAATGACTTTCGCGAGGAGTCAAGTACTTTATACTACGGTGAGGTACGATTTTGTACCTTTGGGAACGTTTGTTTGGGGTATCGTTGCTGGGAGGAGTACATTGGCAATTGAGATAAGCTACACCAACCAAATACAGTAGCGATTGGGGAAGAGGAGAGCGGAGCAATTGAGCAGGCGGAGGGATTGCGACGGGGAGAGGGGAATGCAGAGAGGTTTGTGGGGAGGGGGAAAGGCTGGGGGAATGGCTCCAGTGCAACAGTGCCATACTCACTGTAGCTGGTGTCTCCCCGAGCAGCCACGACGAGCCAGATGTCTACCAACCTACGACCAAGCTCTGCGAGCTCTCTGAGCCTCAAAAGCTGGTTCGTACTTTGTCTGGTTGTGAATGGTGACGTGTAGCCACGTCCTTTCAGAGGAGCAGCAAGGACGAACCACAACGACTCTTGTGTAGATGCGCTTCCAGCCAGAGCACTGAGGTTGAGGTGCAGCAATCAGCATCGACCGACATGCCGAAAACGACACTGTCTTGTGACCAAGAAGGAAGCCCCAGGCACAACAAACTTGGCTGGACGGTGCACACGCATTTCCTCTCCGGCACGAAATGAAATCCCTCCCCGAAGGGGTATTGCATGGAAAAGCGGTCGGTTGTCCGTTGAGATGTGTGTATGTATCTGTGCAGGCTTTGAGCGGATTTCAATTCAAGTGCACAGAGTGGGTTCCACTAAAAACATTGGTTTAGGGAAGAAAAACAAAGAGAAATTATATTTGTAGTCACAATTAAAGCGTTTTTATTACGTTTGGTTATATGCGAACGGTCACAGTACAGCGCGGATCTATCACGGGTGATCACAGCGCTATCACGGATAGTCACACGCTGCCCCGCATATCTACCACGTTTGGTCACACATGAAACGCACCTCACGAAGCTGAAAATCGTGATTGTTGAGATTCAGGGACAATCAGCTCAGAATCGTTTTGGCGCGAATCACCTTTACCACCGAAATTAACTCGCGACTAGCCCTGCGAACTCAATAAACCAGACGCAAGTTACTTCGACTGTTACATTCTTCAAGGAAGAATCAAGTATTATATCATTCTGTAACTATATAATGTATAAGGTTAAGGTTGAAAGAACAAATCTTATGTATGCATTGCAGAAAAAAATATCATGGAAGAAGTTAAAACATGTAATCTTATATTTATTTTCAGAATTAAACCAAATTATTGATCTTATTAAATTTTGTTGAATATTATGTTATATACCAAACTATTACATGTCAGAAAATGTCGATTCTTGGATTCAGAATATTGAAGAACAAATGAATTAAAAAAATATACCCTCTGACACGAGATCTCGTTCTTTGGAGTACACAAATAATATTTGTAAGATTAACTTTCATCTTATGTTAAAACAATATAAGATTACACAATATTATTGTAATTGTCTTTCTTTGAAAGATATAACAGTCAAAGTAACTTGCGTCTGTTTTCATTAGTTCGTGGGGCTAGTCGCAAGCTAATTTCGGAGATAACAGTGATTCGCGCCAAAACGATTTCGAGTTAATTGTCCCTGAATCTCAATAGTCGTGTCAAGAGTTTCAACTTTGCGATGTGCGTTTCATGCGTGACCAAACGTGATAGACATGCGGGGCAGCGTGTGACTATCCGTGATAGCGCTGTGATCACCCGTGATAGATTAGCACTGTACTCTGGCCATTCGTGATTCGCATGTGATCAGACGTGATAAAATCGCCTTAACTGTGACTACCTTTTTAGTCTCCCAAAAACAAAAGTTGATTGCTGTGGCTGGTGCCATGAGCCCGGCCTTTCCGAAGCATCCCGCGTGAAGTCGTGCTTGTGGTGTGTGAGGTGAGATGAGAAGCACGTTTTCTGGTTTGGTCTGGCCACACCACCTCGCGGCTGGCTCGACGCGGAAACGAGCCACGGCAGAAAACCTTGGCTTGGGAACGTTGGGGAGCAGTTGGTGGAGCCCAGCCCAGATTCTGCATGTGGAATCACCTGACGACTCAACGCGCGAGCCAACTTGGAAAGTGGTTATGCTCTGTTGTTTATTTTGAAGCATTGCTTGATATTTTCTGTTACGGAGGCTAGCTTAGCGCGTATGAATGGAATATGATGCTGTTCGCGTGCGACTGGATGTCGTCCGTACATGGTTACCAGCTCTCAGCTCGCTGAAGATCTGGTCACCATTTTGCCTCCAGTGAAGAATCTCCCACAGAAGAATCAGAACAGAGAATCTGGAATCAGTGACACGCTCCTCACTCGTCACGTTTCTTATAGAATCACACTCATACAATCACTCTTATCCACTCTTCCCTCCAATAGGCTCACGTCCCTCGCCTCCCGCCATTTTCAGTTCTGCTTCACATTCTCACTCTCGAGTTCCATTCCATCATTCTTCTGTACTGAACGCCTTGGGAATGCCGTGACAGTTCAGGGAATATCGTCACGCATTGAGGAATACCGTATCGCGTTCCAATCAACCACACTCCATTGCTGTAGGTGAGTAGATTCCGCTGTCAACGGCTAGATTTTACCACGATCAATGCTGACGCTGTATTGCTGCGCGCCTCGCATTTTGATGTCAACGCCAGAAAAGAAGCTACTAGATCGTTGCACTCCCCGTCGGCGCACTATCGCATCGCATTTTAACTGGTTCCCTGTTGCATTGCGTAGCGGGATGTGTGAGAGTGTGAGAATGACGTCGCTGCCGCGTGGCTTCTCTTGCGAGATACATTTCCGCTTTGGCTGGTTCGCTAACAAAAAATCGTCGCTATATTGCAGTTGGCGCCGTGTGTCTTGATCCGTGACCCCACTGTGGTACTCTTGGAATTTATTGACGTCGCGAGAGTACCCTTTCCTTTGTCAGCAGTTTCATTTTCAGAATTCGTCGCTAGAATGCCATTGGCGCCGCGTGTGTCTTAGTCCGTGAGCTTACGTTCGTGGTTTTCTGGAGAAATATTGACGTTGCGAGAGTAACCCCCTCGCTTCTGTCGGCCGTCCTACTTCCAAAACTCTCAAGAGCCTCCCTTTCTTAGCGCGAATTCGAGGCTGCAGCGGGTTCTGCACGTACTTGCTCGCTTCAAGTGTGGCTGCAATGAGTCGTCTTGTTTCCTCTCCATTCTGTTTCTCTTCCCGTTCACCTACACATTGCACACTCCTTGATTCAATTCACTCGCTAAGATGTTTCGTACGTACGAGCAAACACGAATCGGACATGATAAATCACTTACCGTACCAGTCATTCAAGATGCATCATTCCAAATTTGCTCATCAATTACTCATCAATCACTCATACTCCAATGCGTGTCGTCCATACATTTCCTCCTCTTGCCACGTGGCGCAGCGTGACTAGCTGACATGGCGTTCCCAGGATCCGCTGCAACGGCCAACACCAGAGCAGTCCTCCTTCCTGCTGCTGCCACGTGGCAGCACGTCAGCGTGACGTCAGCATCCAGCTACACTCGAATCTCCCCCGCATCTTTCATTAACGCTCTCAGTTCCCAACGAGACAGGAGGGGAAGATGTTCGAGGGGAGGACTAGAGAGTCACAGAAGGCCACTGACCCTGAGAAGAGATGGTGCTTTCCCAGGCGTGTTGGTAGGCGCGAGAGGGGAGAATGGGGGATGCGGTAGGGAAAGGAGGGGGGTTTGCGTGCGAGCGGATGGGACTGCAACGGGAACGAATGGCGTGACGACAAGTGGCAGCAGCGGATGGGTGGAGCGGCGGGAGGAAGAGATTGCTGCGGTGAGTCCAGGGACTTCAGGTGACATTTCAGGTGATCCTTCAGGTGACGTTCAGGTGATCGTTCAGGTGATGATTCAGGAAATAGTTCATGAAGGTGAGTGGGATTGGATTCAGGTTGTTATAAAGGCGAGCAGAATCTATTCCTGAGAGCCAAGTCCACGCTTCCCTCCTTGTGAGGCGGTACCCTGGGTGTGGTTCCATCCAAGGTCCTCCCACTCATTCTTGCCCCACACGCTCTCCGGTTCTCTCCCCCACCACTTCTATTCTCTCTCCCCTTTCGCCCGGCCCGCCTTCTCAAAGAAAGTGAAAGCATCTGAGACGAGACGGTTTCCACCTCCTCCCCTGCCCTTCCTCCCCCCCCCCCCCCCGTTCTCTTCTTCCCCCCTCGGGCCCATGCCATTCTTATCCTCTCTCCCTTCTCCCGGCATTATCCTTGCCCCCCTTCTCTCATCAACATCAGCTCGTGGATGACGTGAAGGCCATTCTGGCTCACGACCATGCGTCCCTCCCCGTGGGTGTACACCGGGGATGACGACGCCATGCTGAGGCGGTTCCTGTACCCATCCTTTCCCCATCCTCTCTTCCCCCCTCAACATCAGCTGGTGGACGAATTGAAGGCCATTCTGGCGCGCGACCATGCGTACCTCCCCGTGGGCGAGTATGAGCGAGACGACGAGGCCATGCTGAGGTGGTTCTTGAATCCATTCCTTCTCTCATCCTCTCTCTTCCCCCAATCAACATCAGCTCGTGGACGAGGTAAAGAGCACCTTGGCTCACGACCATGCGTCCCTCCCCGTGGGCGAGTATGGGCGGGACGACAAGGCCATGCTGAGGTGGTTCCTCACTGCTCCTATCATCCTCTCCTCCGCTTCCTCCCCTTACGCTCCAGCTCGTGGAGGAAGTAAAGGCTATTCTGGCGCGCGACTATGCGTCACTCCCCGTGGGCGAGTATGGGAGGGACGATGACGCCATGTTGAGGTGGTTTCTCAAGGATCGCAAGTACAAGGTGGAGCCCACGGTGGAGAAGCTTGCCAAAGCAATTGTAAGTGGTATAGTGCGGTGCAGTGCGTTGCAGCAGCAGCAGCAGCCACCGGCCATGCTGCGGTGGTTCCTCAAGGACCGCAAGTACAAGGTGGAACCCACGGTCGAGAAACTCGCGAAAGCCATAGTGAGTGGGTGGGTGCTGTGCGGTCCAGTGCGTTTTGGGGAATGTAGCTGGTGAATCTGTAGCAGCAGCACCTAGCAGCCACTGGACATGCTGCGGTGGTTCCTCAAGGATCGCAAGTACAAGGTAGAGCCCACGGTGGAGAAACTCGTGAAAGCCATTGTGAGTGGCGGGTGTGGGTGGGTTGTGCGAAGGATTCGGGTGTATATTGAGTCGACTCAAAGTACCCTTTCACTCGCCCTTTCTCTGTCAACACCCCTTTCCTCGCCCCTGTGTAGGCGTGCTCTTATCAGTTCTCTTTTTTCCAATGCCCTTTGCATCGTCCCTCATCCTCTTATCAGAAATGGCGCCACGAGTTTGGAGTGGCGGGGCTGACAGCTGCTGACGTGGCAGAGGAGGGGGCCACGGGGAAGGCGTTTCTCCACGAGCATGCTGACGTGGACGGGCGGCCGGTGATCGTTGTCGTGGCAGCAAAACACTTTCCCGATGTATGATGACTTTCTGATAAAAATTTCCACTCTACATCTGACTTTACTCTTTTCATATTCCACCAATCTGGCTTCACTGGACGTGCACGGGCGGCCTGTGCTGTGATCATTGTGGTGGCAGCAAAGCACTTCCCTGTTGGTTTGGTTGTGAGAAATCTTAAAAATGATATTAATGATCTCATCTTCCATACACAATGATTGGGATTAGTTTATGCTGTATACCCATCTGATTCGACTTATATCATTTCGTGCTTGCTGAACCCCACACATCCCTCGCCAAACGTCCCTCGCCCCCACCTGCCAGTCCTCCCGCGTGGTGTACAGCCAGCAGCTGTGTGCCTATCTCATTGAAAGGGCCATTGAACTACTGCCTCTTATACCCCCTCGTGACTATCGTTCAACCTGTCAAACACCCCCTCTTACTCCTGCTCCCCTCCAGTCATCCCGCCTGGTTTACAGCCAGAAGCTGTGCGCGTACCTCATTGAAAGGGCCATTGAGCGACTGCCAGAGGGAGAGGAGCAGTTCCGGGGGATATTCGACCTGCGAGGGTTCTCCGCTAAGAACACGCCCCTTACATCCCCCAGCCAAACACCCCCTCTCCCTGCTCCTTTTCACTCCCTCCTCCACTCTTCCCCCCCCCCGCCAGTCATCCCGGCTCGTGTACAGCCAGCAGCTGTGTGCCTACCTCATTGAAAGGGCCATTGAGCGACTGCCGGAGGGGGAGGAGCAGTTCCGCGGGATATTCGACCTGCGGGGGTTCTCCGCTAAAAACACTGACTTGGCTTTCGTGAAGTTCATGGTGAGTATGTGTGCATGGCATGTGTGGGAATGCGGGGAAATGCATGGAGAGAGGAGGATATTCGACCTGCGGGGGTTCTCTGCTCAGAACACCGACCTGGCTTTCGTGAAGTTCATGGTGAGTAGGTGTGCATGGGGGGGCAGAGGAGGTTGATTGCATGGAGGAAGGCTGGAAGGGAGTGGACAAAAAGGGGAGGGGAGGAGGAGCAGTGGGGAGGAGCAGTTCCGAGGGATATTCGACCTGCGAGGCTTCTCTGCTAAGAACACGGACCTGGCGTTTGTCAAATTCATGGTGAGGGGGGGAAGAAGGGGGGGAGAAGGGGGGGAGAGGGGGGGGAGAAGGGTGCTTCGCGGGAGAGAATGCATGGTTGAAATGGGGGGAGGGAAGATGGGTTTGCATGAGGGATCATGCATGGGGGCGATCATGCATGGGGGGGATCATGCATGGGGGGGATCATGCATGGGGGGGATCATGCATGGGGGCGATCATGCATGGGGGGGATCATGCATGGGGGGGATCATGCATGGGGGGGATCATGCATGGGGGGGATCATGCATGGGGGGGATCATGCATGGGGGCGATCATGCATGGGGGGGATCATGCATGGGGGGGATCATGCATGGGGGGGATCATGCATGGGGGGGATCATGCATGGGGGCGATCATGCATGGGGGGGATCATGCATGGGGGGGATCATGCATGGGGGGGATCATGCATGGGGGGGATCATGCATGGGGGCGATCATGCATGGGGGGGATCATGCATGGGGGGGATCATGCATGGGGGGGATCATGCATGGGGGCGATCATGCATGGGGGGGATCATGCATGGGGGGGATCATGCATGGGGGGGATCATGCATGGGGGGGATCATGCATGGGGGCGATCATGCATGGGGGGGATCATGCATGGGGGGGATCATGCATGGGGGGGATCATGCATGGGGGCGATCATGCATGGGGGGGATCATGCATGGGGGCGATCATGCATGGGGGCGATCATGCATGGGGGGGATCATGCATGGGGGGGATCATGCATGGGGGGGATCATGCATGGGGGGGATCATGCATGGGGGCGATCATGCATGGGGGGGATCATGCATGGGGGGGATCATGCATGGGGGGGATCATGCATGGGGGCGATCATGCATGGGGGGGATCATGCATGGGGGCGATCATGCATGGGGGCGATCATGCATGGGGGGGATCATGCATGGGGGCGATCATGCATGGGGGGGATCATGCATGGGGGCGATCATGCATGGGGGGGATCATGCATGGGGGCGATCATGCATGGGGGGGATCATGCATGGGGGGGATCATGCATGGGGGGGATCATGCATGGGGGGGATCATGCATGGGGGGGATCATGCATGGGGGGGATCATGCATGGGGGGGATCATGCATGGGGGCGATCATGCATGGGGGGGATCATGCATGGGGGGGATCATGCATGGGGGCGATCATGCATGGGGGGGATCATGCATGGGGGGGATCATGCATGGGGGCGATCATGCATGGGGGCGATCATGCATGGGGGGGATCATGCATGGGGGCGATCATGCATGGGGGGGATCATGCATGGGGGCGATCATGCATGGGGGGGATCATGCATGGGGGCGATCATGCATGGGGGGGATCATGCATGGGGGGGATCATGCATGGGGGGGATCATGCATGGGGGCGATCATGCATGGGGGCGATCATGCATGGGGGGGATCATGCATGGGGGCGATCATGCATGGGGGGGATCATGCATGGGGGCGATCATGCATGGGGGGGATCATGCATGGGGGCGATCATGCATGGGGGGGATCATGCATGGGGGAGCATGCGTGGGGGGGATCATGCATGGGGGAGCATGCATGCGGGGGCATGCATTGAGGAGAATGCATGGGGGGGAAATCAAAGGTTTTCACCCTCTCCCTCCCCACTACCAACACTGTGAGCTTTTTTCTATCTCCCTTTCACCCTCGCTTTCCACTTCCAGCACCGACTACTTAAAGCTCCAGTATACATTTGACAGGAGGGTGTTCAAAATCCTTAGGAACTTGAAAAGCGGTGGCAAAACGTGAGGCACACTGTACAAACCCTTACCCCACAGACAAATGTATACCGCTGCTTTAAATGTCTCTCAATTTCTGTCTCATCCTCTCTCTCCCCACAATTTCCGTGTCACCCTCTCTCTCCCCACAATTTCCGTGTCACCCTCTCTCTCCCCACAATTTCTGTGTCACCCTCTCTCTCTCCACAATTTCCGTGTCACCCTCTCTCTCCCCACAATTTCCGTGTCACCCTCTCTCTCCCCACAATGTCCGTGCCACCCTCTCTCTCCCCACAATGTCCGTGTCACCCTCTCTCTCCCCACAATGTCCGTGTCACCCTCTCTCTCCCCACAATGTCCGTGTCACCCTCTCTCTCCCCACAATGTCCGTGTCACCCTCTCTCTCCCCACTATTTCCTGTCGCAGATCGACGTGTTCTTCAACTATTATCCCAAGAGATTGAACCAGGTACGATTCTTCCACGAATCGTCAACATTCGCTGATGGGATCTGATAAGTACGGAGAGAATCAACCATCTGTTCTCTCCGCACCATCACGATCCCAAGAGATTGCCCTAGGTAGGGCGAGAAGCGACCTAAACTCATGCGTAAACTTGTAATCTTCAATATATTTTCTTTCGATGATCCCACAATCTCTCTTTCGCTTCCAATCTCTGCCACTTTCTCGCTTTCTCTAGCTCACTCACTCACATGTCACCATGTTTGTAAGCCGCTGTTGCTCCCAAACCCTCTTGCTCCCCACCCACACCTGCTTCCCCTCCCACCTGTTGCCCCGAAACCATGAAGCACTACTCTAGGTGCGCTGTGAGCAAGCGCCTTCTTTGTCCCTCTCTCTCCTCACCCATTCTGCGCCCCCCACTTCATGCCACACCACTTGCCACACTGTTTGAACCCATCCTGATTGCCACCCCAAGTGCTCTTTGTGGATGCGCCCTTCATCTTCCAGCCGGGGTGGACTTTCTTATCTTGGAGGCTTCAATACCCGTCTGAATTGTTGCTCTCATCTGACCCTCCACCACCCCAGGTGCTCTTTGTGGATACCCTTCATCTTCCATTCCTCTCCCTGTCCGTCCTGCGCCCGACACCGCTTCCCACCACTTCCCACACTTTCAACCCATCCTGATTGCCACCCCAGGTGCTCTTTGTGGACGCGCCCTTCATCTTCCAGCCAGGGTGGAAGGTCATGAAGCCACTGCTGAAGTCGTATGCCAACCTGGTGAGTCAGCTTGAGAACCGCCTTGGTTTATGATTTTGCTTTTAAAGCCATTCACGGATCTGGTAAGTGTTGTTGCGGTTGAGGTCCGTCCCATCGATCCATTTAATTGCTCAACCATGCATAACCATTTGTGATGCTTTGTGCTTAAATAGGGAGAATTGTAGGGCTTGAGCCTGCTCCTGATTGTCGCCCCTTTTTCCCATTTTGTTTTTCCCCAGGTTGTCTTCTGCAAGGCTGAGGAGGTTAGAGACAAGTATTTTCTGCCAGGCCAAGCACCTGATTCGTATAATTGAACTTTCCTCCTCACAGTAATATGGTACTGCAGTATAGTCTGATTATGGTTGGTCATGGTAATTTAAGATTGTATGTTATCTCTGTCTGCTCTATGCCCATCCGTGTATAGATTGAAGTGAACTAGCAACTCCAAACTTGAAATTATGATTTGGAAGTGCACCTGGCTCACAATCTGATAAACAATATGAATAATAAATGTAACTGCAAAAATCCTTCGGATTCCTGAGGAAGGAACCCACTTCTACCCATTCTATCTGACTCCCAGACCTGGCTGTCCACCAGCAAGCACCCTAATGACACTACTGCAGGTCAGGTTTAGGGTACGGCAGTATGTAAAAAAAAATGAAAGAAATGTTGGAGCTCGAGTAGTGTTAGGGTCTGTCAGCATACCATGTTAGGCTTGGTTATGGCGTCGTTTTGGTAGCATGCGCAGCGCGATGTTCTGGCAGGTCTTAGCGGCTATTCGCGTCGAGCTTTGAATCGTCGCGAGAGGCGACGGGATGGGTGAGGTAACTCGTGGCGAAGAGTTTCGTGTTGGAGATTTACATTCGTCGCCGTTGGGTAGAGAGATTGAGCTTGGGCGATTGGCACCCCTCAACCATGGATGATTCAAAATCGCATCGACGGCAGGTCGGGACTCAGGATCCACAGACAGCATCGAACGGATGAGATTTTTCGCTGAACCTGAGATTTCGGACCAACATGGAAGCAACCAATCCTCACGCGACTGTCGTCCGCGAATTATCGTCGGCAATTCGCCTGCCAGCATGGAATACAGGGTAACCCCAAGGCTCCAAATATCCGCGGAGAAATCGTAGTTATCTCTCGCGAGGACCTCCGGAGCGATGTAGGGTAGACTTCCGACGCACGCCTGTGCTTTCTGTCCCGGCTTGAGAACCGTCGATGAGCCGAAATCGGACAGCTTAGCTGTTACGGCCACGAAAGGCGGCGCAGTTTCATGAAGCCCGGAACATTTTTCTTGAGATGGCGACGACGCGGTCACGTCTTCGCTTGGCAAAACATCAGTGGAGTCAATATTCTTGCTCCTCATGTCGCACATCGCGTCGTCGCCTGACGTCAGCTTGGATCTATTTTCGAATAGCAGGATATTTTCCGGCTTGATATCGCGATGCATTAACCCGTTCTCGTGACACTGCTTCACGCCGCGCACCACGTCGCGGAAAATCGACCGCGCCTCCCATTCAGGCAGACGTCCTTTCGCATTGATGTGTGTTACCAGATCCCCGCCTGTCGCGAGCTCCAAGAGCAAGATTAGGTTTCGGTCTGAGGGTCGTGGAACAGCCCTTGGATGGCAGCCACGTTGGGACAGCCTTGAAGCGTTGAAAGCGCGCCGATTTCTCGTAAGGCGGAATCGACGGCCGCGTTGCCGACGGCTTGTTTACACGCGAACTCGTTATTGCCTTGTCGCTCCTGGCATCGCCACACGGTTCCGAACTTCCCGGCTCCCAGCTTCTCGTTGGCTTCATATTCGAAGTAGAAGTCGTCCAACGGTCGAATTAGCGACAGCATGCTGCAGGGTAGGTTATTGAAAGTCTCTGCTGTGTGGAGTGGAGGTGTTTTGTTAGACTGGAACCGTAACTCGAGCTGAAAGTACTGCTTCTGGAACTGACGAGGCTCGTCTTTGTATATCCAGGACAACGTTAGGAGCTGATGCGACGGGCCAGCTCTGGTGTTTACTGATTCTCGTGTTCGTTACAGTTCAAGCGCTGCACTGGCAGAAGATTGTCGTCGCGTACACATGACTTGAGTTTGTTGCATAGCTGCATCTGTAGCAGACTTGCCTGGCAATTCCTTTAGCGTGACGGCCGAATTTCTGCAGCCATTTTTAGCTGGGGTACACCCTGTTCTCGATAATTTTACACCCTTAATGCCGAGTCGCGTCTACGTTCCGCGCGGGCGAGGTGTGAAATTAAAGGGGAAAAAAAGCCGCGCGGTAATTTCACACGCCAGATTACTGGACTTGGATGCTGACTGTAAAGTGCGAGTGTACAGCGCGCGCCAGCCTGGAAAATGCCCCACTCGACTGTTGCTCAGTACAACCAAAGAAAACACATTCAAAGACTAAAACCAAAATGCATACACAGAAAGAAACAGGTCCAAAACAGAAAGCATACTCAAAGGAAAGGTAAAACAGTTGGAAAAAAAAACCAGCAAATCCAGAGAGTAAAAACCCACACATACATCAACCCAAAAGCGTCCAAACGGCCTCACAAAGCACACCACCACCCCCTGCCTCAGCGGCACAACCCCGCGAGCGCCCATTCAACGTAGTCGCCAAAAAGAGGAGATCGAATATCGTCGTGACCAAGACGGCGAATTGCGGGTAGGATGTACCCGGCAAGACGGCTATCCGTACCTCAGCTCTCTATAGCTGCGACGGCGGCATTAATCGCCCTCGCCGAACGCTCACCATCCGCATGCGGGTCGTCGTTCAAATCAAAGGGCAAGCCGGCCGAGTGTGGACCAAGTATCCACCAACTCCGCCTCACTTCCGCCGCTTCCTCCTCCCCCTCCGGATTTGTTTGCAATTCACGGTCAACGCGCACAAACTCATCCTCTAGTCCGGGATAGTGTCCGTATCGCTCACGTTTGCGCGATAATGGCAGAGTGCTATTTTTCCATTTCTCCGCTTGCTGAAGAATCCGGCAAATAGTGGTACGGCAGGGCCTAATGTTGAGCGTGGTAACACACCAACCTACTATGTCGGTCTGACTCATGTCGGGATTTGACTCCTTGAGAGAGCATATCTGAAGTTTCTGCTCCCTTGTGAATGCAATATTACGGGGGCGAGTAGGCATGTTTGCTCACGGACTCTTGCTGGAATTGTGTCGAGTGAGAAATGAGTTCTGCAGAAATTGGGTTGGTGAAGACTTGATTTCTCGATTGTTTCCTGGCTTCGTAGGGGGTGTTCATATAATTTCGTGTCGGCGCATTTTAAGGCTTGGTGTGTAATGTGTGGCTTGTTTTATCGCACATAAGTGTCAGAATTCTCATTGTGTCGATTCTACTTTCTAAATCTCACGAGCAGGGCAGCCTAACAAGTACGTCCTTATGATGCCCGGCTCGTCGTTTCAAATTGGTGGTGTGTCTTCCTCTGTGAAAGGGTGAAATCGAATCGACGAATGAAATTGTTTCATTCTCACATTGCACCAATCACGCTTCATCTTATTTGTGGGAGGAGAAGTTCCTTCCCCTTGTTGGGCTGAGAAAAGCCCTTAGGATCTTTGCAGGACTAAATTCTGAGTAGGACAATGTAATAGCGGAAGCGTCTTAACGAGAACTTATGAACCACCTTGCGCTAGTATGTGAGGGCAAAGTAGATTGATTAATAGCAAAGAGATACAAGCTTTTATAAGAATACAAGGGAATATGAAGGGTTATAACTAATAACCGTTTTACCATTGCTGTTGCGGTTCGATACAGTGACGACTCGGGCAACTGCTCAATAGCGAGTCAGTTGTTTGTCCTTGCTGTCGCGCTGTACTTGTCAGGTCAAAGGTCGCTGACCTTTGACTTTTGCGTAACCTCCAGCAGTTGTTCAACCTCCGAGGGTTGACTCGCTGATGCTTCGATATGTTCTGCTTCGCTTCTGACTTGGTGTTTCGACACGACAGAGGCGCTTAAATCAATTGTTTCCAACACTCCCCTTCGCTTCTGGAGTGTCGCTGCTGGTGACGTGGCTCTGTCCAGTCAGCAGCATGCAGTACTCAAACTTCTGTTTTCCGAGTTTCTTGGTCAAGTAATCAGCTGCCATCTCGGACGTGGGACAGTAAGACAGCTCAAGTCTCCCCTTCTCGATCTCGTCCTTCACGAAGAAATATCGCAGGGCGATATGCTTCGTCATGTTCGCGAATCCGTTTTTGTTGGCTATCCGAATTGCCGACTGGTTGTCGCAGAACAGGGAGAAGCTGGGTAACTGAGCCAGCTTCGCCTCCTCCAGGAGTTCGCGAAGGTACAATCCTTCCTTGGTGGCTGAGCAGAGTGCGATATATTCTGCTTCGGCTGAGGAGAGAGCGATTAATTCCTGCTTACTCGACTGCCACGAGATAGGTCCGATAGGCTCGAGGCGGTAGATGTAGCCTGTGCGCGAGCGCCTGTTGTCAGAATCTCCGGCGTGGTCGGCGTCGACGTAGCCGATTAACTTGGGCGTTGTAGTTCTGTTCTTGTAGTAGGTCAGGCCGATCGTTGGAGTGCTAACGAGGTAGTGAAGAGCGCGGTCGAGTTCCGTCATGTGTTCAACTTCAGGCCTTTTGAGGTAGGTGGCGAGTTGACTTGCGGAGTATGATAGGTCCGGGCGGCAGGTGACAGCCGCAAAGAGAAGGCATCCTAGCTTCCTCTGGTAGTCGCGTATCCTGGCAGGCTTGGGTGGAGTGGAGTCTTCCTTGTGACTTCCTGCCGTGTAGCGGTATGGCGTGGAGATGGTAGTTGGCGTGAGTGCGAAGCGTTTGGCGATGGTGTCGGCATATTTTGCGGCGTTGAGGTAGATCGCGCTTTCTCCTTCCTGGATGTTGAGGCCGAGGTACTGCGTGACGGTAGATGAGACTGTGAGCGTGAGGTCTTTCTGTAGCTCCCCTTCGAACCGGGTAGTGACGTTGTCGGTCGACCCGATGTAGAGTATATCGTCTACGTAGACGATTAGTAGAATGTAGTCGTCGCCTTTCGTGAGCCGGTACATGCCTTGGTCGTGCGGTAGCTGCCGGAATCCGATGCGAGTAAGTTGAGCGTGTAGGTACTGCTGCCACAGTCTTGGGGCCTGTTTGATGCCGTACAATGACTTCAGCAGCTGACAGACGTGATTAGGTTCTCCGTTGGAGCCATGTGGTAGTTTGACGAAGATTTCTGCGTCGACAGGTGCGTAGAGAAATGCGTTGGCGACATCAATTTGCCGCAGTTTCTTTTTCTTCATGGCGGCGATCGCGAGGAGAATTCGTAGTGAGGTGTGTCGGCTGACCGGAGCGAATGTCTCGGTGAAGTCACG